ATAACTTAAAGCTCACTAATGAAGATACGCGTGTCATCGCAGATAGGATCCTCGCCTCTTTGGAACTGGTCAGACGCTCTCCTCGTGGCTCTCATCGCGGCGGCGGCCGGCGATCTCAACTTCTCGAGCGAGCCGTCGCGCCCGACCGCGCCGCCGCCGAGCCTCGCGCCAGCGCCGGCGGTGCAGGAGTGGCACAATTCGCGAGACTCGGGCTGGGGGTCCACCCAGGGCGCCACGATCGAGATCGACACCCCTGACATGACCCACTACAACGGGACTTTCGACAATTCCTCGAACATCGACAGAATTTTTCTCCAGGCCCGAGTTGGAGATCGACTCAGATGTCGATCGCGGCTTCCGCGACCGAGACCCCTGAAGCCCGCGAACAGCGAGGAGTTGCAGATCACGCTCTCAACCTTTTCCTAAGCACTCATTTGAACATCCTCGATTTCGTCAATATGTATTGGCCGCTTGAAATAACGTGGATAAGTCTGGATTATCCCCCCCGCTGGAAGTACGACTACGCAGAGAAGCGATACAAGAAGGTGCCCGACAAGCTCGCAACAATTTCCTCAATGAGAACCCTTCAGATCCCAAGCGCGAGATCCCCCTCCTTCGGGCCATCGCTCGCGTGGCGTGGCGTCAAGACTATCGGAGTGCTGCTGCTCTATTACAACACGATATTAGGCAGATTTTCAGGGAATTAGATCTCGCTACCCCGTCTCTCGCCATCGGCAAGCACGGTGAATTTTACATGCTTCTGGATGCTCTGCAGAGGGCCGGCGCCGAGAGCGAGCAGGCCTCAATTAGAAGACGCATGTCGGAGTTGAGTGCGCCGGCGAAGCTGGCGAAGGCGCGCCGCCGTCTTCGCGCGCTCTCAAGTCGGGCGCGTCTCTGGGCGCCTTTCGACCGCGGACTGCGCCTCTCTGGGTTGGATCGGCCAACATATTGTGTCTTCAGAAGTGGAGGTGCGCGAAGGTATCTCAGATCACTGGAGTCAAGTTTTCGGCCGCGCAAATATCGACGTGGAGGCTGCCGCCACATGTCTGGATAGATTCCCCCCCAGATAACGCTCCCCGGCCTGGGGCCGCCCTGTGCCCTGGACTTCCAGACGACGATTCAGAAGGCTTCGGAGTCTGCCCCTGATCGCGCGCGCTGGTTGATCTTCAGAGGTAACGCACGCCGTTCGGGCTCAGCGCCTTCTTGGGCATCTTTGTCCTTAAGCCGGCGGATGAAGAATATTCGGCTGACTGCATTTGCCCTCCCGGTGGCCTTCGACCCCTCGGACTCGAGAACACAGATAACAAACTCATCACATCCTCTCTCGTGCTCTACCTGCGAAACTGAACGATATCCAGCGTGGGTTTGTTCAGGGTCGAGAGTTTGGTCAGAGTGTGGTGGGGTTGGATTGATGTGCAAGACTAGTCTGCTGGTCCCTCAGCCGTCTCTCTCAAGCCTGCCTTGGCGAGCTACGACTACGGCACAGCCTTCCCGAGCCTTGCTCACCAGTGGCTGATCACGGCACTGAAATCCTGCGCACTTTCTGCCCCCTTCGCGTTCTTCGTCGCGGAGTTGCACAGTGGCCTCGTCTGCTACCGCGTGGACTCCAGCGAAGCATCTTCAGTGGTTGCCCCCCTCGTGGTCCTAAGCGGCATCATCCAGGGATGCCCTGGGTCGGGGGCTTTCTTCGCGATCGCGGCGGACCCCGTCCTCCAATGTATGAAGTTGAGCGTTGAAGGTCGCGGAGTGGGCGTGGCCGCGGCCTGCGCTGATGACGTAGGCGCTGCTGTTCGACGGATTTCGGCACTTAAATACATGGCGCGTGTATTTCGCGCTGCCGATCGGGCGGCCTCGCTGAAGCTGCAGCACAGCGAGCGCGTGGTTGCCCCGCTCAGCGCAGAGTACTCCGAGGAGTTAGCGAATGAGTGCGCCTCGTGGCTGCAGTCCAACATCCCGTCGTGGAGTGAGTCTCCTGCGCGTGCTCACTTTAAATACCCGGGCATCTGGCTTGGCCCGTCGGTCGCGACAGAGTCGCGGCGCGAGCCTTTCGCTAAATGGGTTGACCGCGGGTGTCTCCTTGCCTATCAGGGTGCCCCTGCTGGGGTCGTCTCTAACTTGTGCATGCCCAGAGTTGCCCGTGTCCTTTCTTGTGTTGCTCAGTTCCTCCCTCCTCCCTCTGGCCCCCCTCACCTCGAGAGCGTCGTCATCGTTCGCGTGCTCCGTATTCCTCACTGTGCGCCCCCGCTCTCGGCTCAGCTTTCCTCAGGTGCTTGGGGCGGCCCCAACCTTCATTGTTTGGCGTCCGCGCCCTGCTCTTCCCTCTTCCGTGCTAGCACATCTACCCTGAATGTCTGGCCGAGCTTTCTTGAAGTGTTGCGCAGCGCGGCGAAGACCAAACAGGGCTCTGCTCCATTTGCGAGTCTCCCCTGTCTGCCATTGCACACTGAATTCTGGAAACAAAGCTCGTTCGCCGAAATTTTTGAGGCTGCGTCGGAAGGATTCCCTCGGGAAGTTGGCTCTGGTCTTCTCACCTCCTGTTGTGCTGCGAGAAGACGGCTTTCTGCTGCTGCTGGTGCTGTCTCCCACTCGCTCAGAACGTGGGCCGAGGCCACTCCCGACGGCAAGGCGATTAGGATTCAGAGAATTGTGTCGGCTGCGATGCGCGAACTTCTTAACGCTGTCTGTTTAGAAGGTATCCTTGCTCAGAGGCTGGCGAGCTGGCTTCCAATTTCGTTCCCTGCGGCCAAGAATCCTCCGTGGCCTGAGATCAAGGCCACAACGTCTGCTCTCCCAACATCTCGTGCCGTCGCCATTCTCAAGTTTCTAATGCATGGTTGGACCACGGCCTCTCGATTTCAGCAGTCTGAACCGCGCCGGCTTGGATGCCCACCTCCAGCCGCCGACGACCAAGCTCACTGTTGGAGCTGTCCTAGATTTCTTGCCCATCTCTGTTCTGTTGTAGATATCCCCTCTCTGTCTCCGTGCCCCATTATCCTTCTCGGCCTTCGCCATCCGTCCCGTGTCTCGCTTGACATCATTGCTGCTTCCACTTTCTTGTATCAGTGCATCCGAGCTTGTAGCCAGCCTAGCGCCGATATCAAATTCGAAGTCCGCCGAGATCGTAATGTCGGTTCGGTGGCACACGCGGCGCGGCTCGACGCGCTCGAACTTCATCCTGAGGCACGTGCGAGGAGGAGGAGGAGGAAGAGGAGGAGGAGGAAGAGGAGGAGGACGAGGAGAGGAGGAGGACCTCCCCATCTTCTTTTCGTTCTTGTCGTGCCTCTGGTAGTGGTGGTGGAAAATTTGCCCATGTCCATCAGCCCCCGAATCAGGGCGAGATTGCAAGGGACCCAGTCCAAAACAAAATGCGCAGCCAGGACCGCAGGGGCGCCCATTGGGCCCTCCTGGGGCCGTCTTGGGGTCTGGCCTCGCGGCCGTTTGGGGGCGCTACTCAGGGCGCTGCTCGGTGCCCGTGCCCGCGCGCCAGCAGGCGTTTGGTTCCCCTGCTTGTCTCGGGGCCGTTTGCGCGGGCAATTTGGGGCCGTCTGGGGGCTGTCAGCGGGGCCTCTCGGGCAGCTTCGGCTCAGCTGCGCAGACATGGGCGCCTGGAGTTCCTCGCGGACTTCCCCGATCGGCAGTGCGCCCCTCTCCCCGGCGCGCGGAGCGCCCCAGGGGCTGCGCCGGAGGCGACGCCGGGGAGGCCAGCGCCGATCCCAGGCCGCGCAGACCTTCGGAACCAAAAAAAGAAAACATACGTTTACGCCGTCGATTCTTCTTCCGGGGACGCGCCGTCCAACATCCGCAGCCGCGGCGCCCCGTGCTGGGCGGAGGCGCCCGACCGAGATCGGCGCCGCTCGCAGTGAACCCCAGCTGTGCCCCGGACTGGGCTCCATTCCCCACGGGGATCGGCCCGGCACCGCCCTCAACTCCCGCAAGCGGCACCTTCCCCTGACTTTGGTCGATTTTCCGATTCGAAATCATGTCGGACATGCGCCCCGCACGATGCGAAGGAGTAGGGCGGCAAGTTCTGGCTCGGGGAAGTAAGGCGGATTATTTCCGCGAAGGTATGGCAGAACCTGCGGAGGCAAAGAAGGGTAGAAATCGATATCAGAGGAGCCTGAAAAACAGGGCGACGCTTTCCGCCCTCCTTGCGAAATCTGCCAAAGTACGGCGGATGCGGAGTCAGCGGGGCGCTCGGCAGCGGGTTGGGCAGCAAGCCCAGGTCCCCGACGATATCCCAGACATCCGACGTCTTGAAGAAATCAAGGCGGGGGGGGGGTCGCCGTTTTCGGCCTCTGGGGGCCCTCGCCGGGCGCCGAGGAAAGTGCCGAGACTTCCGGGGGACCTGGTGCAAGACAGCGAGGACATCTTATGTCTGGGAGCCCGGATCTCCGACGATGCGCTCTCTTTAGCTCCCAGGCGTTTCTCGTCGACGCCGGCCTGCGGGGCCCGAGAGGTGCTGGACCCCCTCCCCCTGTTCGGGCGGTCGCCCGCTGTGCGCCGCTGCCGACGGCAGCCTCCGCCCAAGACCTCCCAGCGCATGGAGCAGCAGCAGGGCGCGGGCCCTTCGTCGGTCGAAGTCTGCTCAGACCTTCGCGCCCTCGACAGAGGGTCCTGCGGGGAACATCTGGGCTCCCCCACGGTGCTCGTTGGGCAGACGAGGGGGTGATGAGGAGGTCCTGACTCATCCCGCCTCCGTGTTCTCCATGGCCTCCTCGCCCCCAGAGATGATCGGCGCACGATGTGCTTCAACAGGCGATGGTACGTACGCATGTGTGTGTGTGTGTGGCCTCCTCGCCCCCCTCTCTGAGCCCAGGGCTGGACCTAAGCGGTGGTTTCTGCGACTTCGTGGGCCGCTTTCGTTTCGACTTCGTTTTGCGGTACAGGCGGATGGGAGACACAACGAAGGACCACGAAAGCAAAAACGACAACGAGAAGCACCGTTTAGGTTCAGCACGGAGGAGGAGGAGGAGGAGGAGGAGGAGGAGGAGGAGGGTCTGAGCCCGTTTTGGCTCGAGCAGCTGCTGCTTCACCTCTTCCGTCGACCGAAGTCCGTCCAGACCTCCGCGCCCGTGGCAGCGATGGCCGCCCGCCGCGCCCTGAGTCTGCTGGCCCTGGCCTCGGCCGGCGCTGCTCTGCAGGTGCAGGATCCTCGGGAGGGAGGAAACACACACAGACACGCAATGAATCGTCGATCCCCAGAAAAGATGGAGAACATGGGAGGTGGTGGGGGAGGCAGAAGCCCAGAAAATATGGGAACATGTGGGGGATCTGGTTATGTGTGTCCATGTGTGTGTGTGTGTGTGTGTGTGTGTGTGTGTGTGTGTGTGTGTGTGTGTGTGTGTGTGTGTGTGTGTGTGTGTGTGTGTGTGTGTGTGTGTGTGTGTGTGTGTGTGTGTGTGTGTGTGTGTGTGTGTGTGTGTGTGTGTGTGTGTGTGTGTGTGTGTGTGTGTGTGTGTGTGGTGTGTGTGTGTGTGTGTGTGTGTGTGTGTGTGTGTGTGTGTGTGTGTGTGTGTGTGTGTGTGTGTGTGTGTGTGTGTGTGTGTGTGTGTGTGTGTGTGTGTGTGTGTGTGTGTGTGTGTGTGTGTGTGTGTGTGTGTGTGTGTGTGTGTGTGTTCCAGTTCCCCGTCAAAGTCGTGCAACATTCATCGTCGACGTGTCGCCCACGGCTTCTCGTAGCTCTGGGCCCCCAGGCGGCCGTTCTTGGGCCCTGGGGCCGCCGCGAACGGACTCGTGATGGAGTGCGACCCTGGGGGAAGCCTCCTGGACGATTCCTCGACATGACCTGCGACATTTGCACTACCTCTCCAGGGGGGGCAAGACACTGCGAACCAGGACTCTGGGAACTCGATGTGGAGGGAGCGACCTCTGGAGAGAGTGCCGAGCCACGGCTGCAGCTCTCTCGGCCGCAGGGCCCCGGTTTGCCAGCAGGTTCCCGTCCGGGGGGGGCCCTGGAAGGAGGCCTGGCATCGCTCGGACGTGTGCGTTTTTTCCTCGGCGAGGACCATCGAGGAGCATCCCTGATCATTTGGCGAAAAAGCCACGCACGAAACCGAACAAAAACACAGGGAATGGACGTCCGGGCGATGGCGAGGAGGGCATACAGCACAACCTGACCGTGTGCAACGCCTACGCGGAGAGCAAGCCCCTGAGCGTCTACACGGTCAACCAGAAGGCGAAGCTCACGGACGTCGCAGTAAAGAGAAGCGGTACACGTGTGGCTCATTCCTAAGTCTTCGAAGGTTTTTTGATTATCTGGGGGCCAAAGACCCTTTCACTTCTAGCGGTTTCTAGCCTGGGCCTCTTCCTGGCCACTGGGGGGCCAGGAACAATTAGAAACGCGCGCAGTTGGACATGAGCACGATTGGGAATGCACGACGCGTGCAGCACGCAGGCGCCGGGAGGTCCGCACGGGCTTCTCGGATCGGCGCTGGACCCCCCTCCTCTCGGCGCGCGGAGCGCGCCGGGGGCAGCGCCAGGGGCGCCGCCAGGGGCCTGGCATCGCTCGGACGTGTGCATTTTTTCTCGGCGAGAGCCATCGAGGACCATCCTGGACCATCCAGCAAAAAAAAACACGCACGAAACTGCAAAAAATCCACGGGAAATGGACGTCCGAGCGACGGCAAGGGGGGCGGGGGGTCCAGCGCCGACCCAAGAAGGCCGCGCGGACTTCCGACGGTTTATGCCCGTGCTGTTTTTGTTGCCTCCCTCCAGGAGGAGCCCCTGCCATACAAGGCGTGCAAGGAGCTCGTCCTCGAGCTGGCGGATAGCGAGCGCATCGACTTCCGCCTCGGGGGCCTCAGCGTCGGCACGTTCCACGTCGGCAACCTCCCGTTTGCCCCCACGTCGCTGCTGCTGGTCCCCTATCGCAGGGGCAACGGCACCATGGCGGCGACGTTCTACTCCCACGCGTTCTCGGTCGCGCAGGAGAGCTCGCAGCTCGCGGTCGTCGATGCCTACGACGGCAGCTCGCCCGGCAGCCTGAAGATCGCGCGGGGCAGCGGGAGGCACGGCAGGGAGTCGGCAGCGCTGAAGCCCGGGGCGGCCGTGAGCCTTGCCCCGGGGGCGTATGAGGTCGGGCTGGCGCAGAGCTTCCTCGTCCTGGCTCGTTCTCGTAGTTTTGTCCTCCCCCTCTCTCCTGCTCTTCCCACCCACTTCTCCCCTTTATCGCCCACCCGTCTTGCCGCGCCCCCTCTCCCCCCATCCCCCGTGCTCATCCTCTGTCGCCTCCTCCCCCCCTCGCCTGGCAGGTCAGCCTGGAAGACCCAGACAGCAAGAGCGTGAAAACCGTCGCGCTGTCGGCTGGCGACGGCGGCAAGCACGTCGCCATGCGCGTGGGCGGCAGCGACGGCCTTCCCCAGGAGCCCCTGGGCGTCGTGCCGCACCCGAGGCAGAGCTGTTCGAAACGACTTTGAGCTTCGCATGCCTTGTGTGGGCTCACGTGGGCCCGAATCGGACCCTACTCGTCTCTCCGATCGTTGGGCGAGGGGGAGAACGAGAAAGAAGACGAGGAGGAGGAGGAGGAGGAGGAGGAGGAGGAGGAGGAGGAGGTGGTGGTGTTGGAGGAGGAGGAGGGGGAGGAGGTGGTGGTGTTGGAGGAGGAGGAGGAGGAGGAGGGCGTCCAGATAGCGGATGGATGTCTCCCTCCAAGGAGCTGGTGCTCTTCTCCGCGGGCGAACGCTCCGAGCGCAGCGGCGTTCGCCGTGCCAGCGCCGCCCTCCTCGCGGCGGCGGCGGTGTGCGCCGCGCTGCTGGCGTGAGCCTCCGCCGCCTGGCCCTCCTCCCCCCGCCGCTTTCGTCCTGCCTCATCGTGCCTCCCGCCTGCTCGCGCCTACCTCCTCATCTTCTTCCTCCTCCTCCTCTTCCTTCCTCCTCCTGCCTCCTTGTTTTTCCCTCCCTCCTTCCTCCCTCCGTCCTCTTCGCAGCGCCATCGCGCGATCCCCGCCGCCGCCGTGCAGCCGCTGCCACCCGCTCGCCCTGGCGCCGGCTGACGGCGCGGGGGCCGACCCTTTCCGGAGGGAGGGGGAGGGAGGGGAGGGGGCACCGACACTCAACTCAATCAATCCTGAGCCCACTCAACTCATGTTCGAGCCCTTCGGCGCCTCGCAGCCTCTGACGGCCAGCCAGGGATGGCCAGCTTCATCGACGAGCTCCAGGACGAAGCCTGTTCGACATAGTTTATGATGGGATGGCGCAATAGTTGCGGTGAGGCCGGCTTACCAGAAGCCGCTGGTCATGGTATTCAATGGCCGTTGGTCATGAATGTCGAGTGTACTTGCTCTACAGCACTACGGCCAAGTGTATTACGTGCGTGTCTGTCTACAGTATTCACGCGCTGTGGAGACGATGGACGGGCACTTCCTGTGCAGCGTCCACGACAAGGTAAGCCATGTAGAGCGCTACAGGCAATGTACTACGTCCACAGCGCCACATTATCAACGTGAATTCCGAGTACAATGTTGATGGCAAGGTACTACCTTTACGGTAAGTGCATCTGATACCGTTGAGTGGCCCCGCTGGTCGACCACTCCTCCCCCATTTTCCTCCCCCTTCCGCCGCAAACTCGCCCGCCCCGCAGCTGCTGCCCGAGGCGCCTTTCGTCGGGCTTGAAGTGTTTCCATCCGAGGTCAGTTCCTCCCCCCCTCCTACCTCCTCCCTCTTCTTTTTTTCCTTTTTCCTTCAGTTAGCGATATGCCTCTCTCCTCCTTCTGCTGCCTCCTCGTTCCTCCCTTTTTCCATCCTCCTTCCCTCCGCATGCCCTTTCTTTATGTATTGTCCTTCCTCGTTCCTCGTTCCTCTCTCCTCCCCCCATTTGAATCCACTGAACATGGAGCGCGCCTCGCGTCAAACTCATCGTCACACCCACCCCCCTCCTTCCTTTTTTCTCTTTTCTCCTCCCCTCGTCGTCGCCGCCGCCGCCGTCCTCTTCCTCGTCCTCGTCCTCGCTTTTTGTTTGTCCCTCCTCGCCCTCCTGTTTCCTCCTGCTTCCTTCCTCCTCCGCCCACCTGCGCCGCGCTGCTGGCGCGCCGCGCTGAGGGCGCCCTGCCCAGTTCTGACCCCGCTGGCGTGGTCCTCCCCGATTTTGGAAAAAAAGTGCGCACGGTCGGGCACTCGGGCACCCATCGGGCGAAGCGACGCGAAGACGGCCGAGCGACGATGAAGAACAGGTCTTACGCGAGATGGCACAGGAGCCGCACGCGGCGGCCTACGCGGGCCGCCACCGTGGCAGGCCGCATTGGAGACGGGGCACTTTGGCTCCGCGTGCCGCGCCGCTGGCTTTGGCCCACCGCGCCGCGGCGCGACACCACGCCTCGGGGCGACACGCTCTCCGACTTCCTCCTCTTCTTGCTCCTGCTCCTCCTCCTGCTCCTCCTGCTCCTCCTCCTCCTCCTCCTCCTCCTCCTCCTCCTCCTCCTCCTCCTCCTCCTCCTCCTCCTCCCTCCTCCTCCTCCTCCTCCCTCCTCCTCCTCCTCCCTCCTCCTCCTCCTCCTCCTCCTCCTCCTCCTCCTCCTCCTCCTCCTCCTCCTCCTCCTCCTCCTCCTCCTCCACGCCTGGTCCCCGGGCGTCCACGTCCCGAGCCTCTTCCGGCCTCCCGCCCTGTGGGGCGGAGCGGCACGCCCTCCGCCGTTGTGGGGCATCGCGCGGTGCCGGGGCCGCCGCTGCGACGCGCTGGTCGAGAATGCCCGACCGCATCACCCCACATCTGCGGAAAAAGAGTGCGAGGGCGGGCGCGGGGAAGGTCGCGGGTGTGCCGCGGGTGGGGCCGCCAGAGTGACGCGGGTGGGTCCCGGGGGGTGGTGGGCAAGGACGACGACGACAACAGCAATCATCTCAATACTGCTCGCTCTTGCATGCTCGCGCGCCGCTCAACACGTACCTCCCAAGCCCTCGATACCCGCCCTCTTCGTTTTTGATCGTGCCACCTTGGGGGTATGTCTTCCTCACCTGGGTGCCCTCCTCCCTTCCCCGGTTCCCGGGGAAAGGGCGGGGATTTGTTACCCTCCCCACCCCAGTTTCTGGGAGGGGGGGGAGGGGGAGGTTTGCAAGTCCGATGATTCGGGCATCGCCGGAAGCCCGCAGCATGTGACATGCCCCGCTTCTGATGGCTTAGGCTTGGCTGCCGCAGTTTTGGGCGCGCATCTCTGGCATCCCTTCGGCACTCGGGGCTGCCCCCCCCACGTGCCACGACGTGTTCCGGCAACGGCTGCTGGAGCTTGCCGCGGAGTTCGAGAGCCTGCACGCGAGCGTTGCCCACCGCGGGAACTCATGGAGAGGTAGCTCGAGCCTTCAGGGGGCTGGTTGTGCAGCTATGCCCTCCCCTCGAGGAAGCGCCCGAGCTCTGACGGTCGCAGCGCTGGCCACGGCGAGGACGCCAGGTTGCGGGGAAACAATACACATAAAAGCACAACAAACACAAAACAAAGTGTGTATGTGTGTTTATGTTTCGTGTTTTTTCCCACATACGCTCGAATCATACCCTAATCCCCGCGATTGGCGTCACCTGATCTCGATGCTGATCATGAGGGGGTGAAGTTACGCACTCCGCGGTCTGGGCGACTTCAGTGCGCGGCGCGAATCCCTCATGCGGCGCGAGAGCGCGAAGAGAATCGCGCTTCGCGGAGCGCGACGCGTGAAGGTAGTTGCGCTAGGATCTTAACGATTCCCTCAGCATAGGGCGCATCCCTAAGATTGTCATCTCGTCTTTGGGCTTTTCGGTCCTGGGGGTAGGGGTAAGCTCGAGGCCGGTGCAGGGCGGCCGCCGCGGCCCCTCGCAGCTTGCAGTGGTCCGGCGGCGACCTCGAGGACGTGTTGGCAACGGGCGTGACACGTTTCTCGCGGGCGTCGAGAAGCAGCTTTCACAGATCTGAGCGAAGTACTGACAGCAGCCGAGGTCAACTTCCAGCTGACCAAGCCCACACGTTGCAGTCGTGGTTCAAAGCTTTGGAGATCGACGCGAACCAGGCCTGGAAACTGTGCAATATTCTTGACGCGGAGAAATCGGGCCGTATCTCCCTCGAGGATTTCGTTGACTGGTGCTTGAGGCTGAGGGGGCCAGCTGCGCGTGTCGACGCAGAGGCGCTGATGTGGGACGTCAGATGTGTCTGCGCTCGTGCAGAGCACGCCGCCAGAATCCTGGTTCCCGGCTGAGTTGGCCACTTTCATTGGCCCCGACGGAGGCGTGCGCAGGTTGAGCACGGGCTCCTCCCCCTCCCTCCGGCGCTGCACCGACGCGGCATCCGGCCGAGACTGTGGGAGAGCCTCGGGCGGTGGCCCCGCCCTGTGGAGCTCCAAGGGGAGGAGGAGGAGGAGGAGGAGGAGGAGGAGGAGGAGGAGGAGGAGGAGGAGGAG